GGTAGGTGGAACGCAGGGGGGAAGGGGAGGAGGGCCACGAAACGCTGTAGTGGGTGCGCGGGACGCATGCGGACGGTAGCACTGGGACCTTCGGTGGGGTTCCTATGGTGCCACGAAGCGCTGTACTGGGTGGGTGGAACGCAGGGAGGAGGGGCAGGAGGGCCACGAAACGCTGTACTGGGTGCGCGGGACGCATGCGGACGGTAGCACTGGGACCTTCGGTGGGGCTCCCTATGGGGCCACGAAACGCTGTACTGGGTGTGCGGGACGCATGCGGACGGTAGCACTGGGACCTTCGGTGGGGCTCCCTATGGAGCCACGAAACGCTGTACTGGGTAGGTGAAACGCAAGGAGGAGGGGGAGGAGGGCAACGAAACGCTGTACTGGGTGCGCGGGACGCATGCGGACGGTAGCACTGGGACCTTCGGTGGGCTCCCTCTGGGGCCACGAAGCGCTGTACTGGGTGTGCGGGGCGCATGCGGACGGTAGCACTGGGACCTTTGGTGGGGCTCCCTCTGGGGCCACGAAGCGCTGTACTGGGTGGGTGAAACGCAAGGAGGAGGGGGAGGAGGGCCACGAAACGCTGTACTGGGTGTGGGGGACGCATGCGGACGGTAGCATGGGACCTTCGATGGAGCCCCTATGGCCCCACGAAACGCTGTACTGGGTGTGCGGGACGCATGCGGACGGTAGCACTGGGACCTTCGGTGGGGCTCCCTATGGAGCCACGAAACGCTGTACTGGGTAGGTGAAACGCAGGGAGGAGGGGGAGGAGGGCCACGAAACGCTGTACTGGGTGTGCGGGACGCATGCGGACGGTAGCACTGGGACCTTCGGTGGAGCTCCCTATGGGGCCACGAAACGCTGTACTGGGTGTGCGGGACGCATGCGGACGGTGGAGAGGAGGAGGGGGCAGAGGAGGAGGGGAGAACGCGGGGACCGTCTCTTGAAAGCGAGGACCCAACACCACAGGATGGTTGGGAATAGTCGAAAGATGCCCAAATTAGCCTGGCGAAGAACCCAACCATATGCAGTTGTCAGTACCGCAGCTGCGGGCTTCATCTTCAGTGGAACTCCCCAAAGGACTACGGAACGTGTGAGGGGTGTGTCGAGATGGGTGCCACTGGGGCATTCGGCGAAGCTCCCTATGGGGACATGAAACACGCGCGGGGCGTGCCGACATGGGTGGCGGAAACGCATGTGAGGGCCGCCACTGGGGCCTCCAGTGGAGCTCCCTATGGGTCCCCGAAACATGATGCTGCTGCGGGGGGGGTGCCGGGATGGGTGGCGGAGACGCATGTAAGCGCCGCTACTGGGGCCTTCGGTGGAGCTCCCTATGGGGCCACGAAGCGCGTGAGGGGTGTACTGGGATGTGTGGCGGGGACGCATGTGAGCGCCGCCGCTGGGGCCTTCGGTGGAGCTCCCTATGGGGCCACGAAACGTGTGAGGGGTGTGCCGAATTGGGTGGGTGTGGGTGACGCATGCGGAGCGCCGCCACTGGGGCCTCCGGTGGAGCTCCCTATGGGGCCACGAAACCTGTTGGGAGGGGCGTGCCGGGATGGGGGCGGGGACGCATGTGAGCGCGGCCGCTGGGGCCTTCGGTGGAGCTCCCTATGGGGCCACGAAGCGTGTGAGGGGTGTGCCGAATTGGGTGGGTGTGGGTGACGCATGCGAGCGCCGCCACTGGGGCTGTGGATGATGGGGCCACGAAACGTGAATTGGGTGTGCGGGACGCATGCGCATGTGAGCGCCGCCACTGGGGCCTTCGCTGGGGCGCCCTATGCGGCCACGAAACGTGTGAGGGGTGTGCCGAACTGGGTGTGCGGGACGCATGCGGGCGGCAGCACTGGGGCCTTCGGTGGAGCTCCCTATGGGGCCACGAAGCGTGTGAGGGGTGTGCCGAATTGGGTGTGCGGGACGCATGCGGGCGGCAGCACTGGGGCCTTCGGTGGGGCTCCCTATGGGGCCACGAAGCGTGTGAGGGGTGTGCCGAATTGGGTGTGCGGGACGCATGCGGGCGGCAGCACTGGGGCCTTCGGTGGGGCTCCCTATGGGGCCACGAAACGTGTGAGGGGTGTGCCGAATTGGGCGTGCGGGACGCATGCGGGCGGCAGCACTGGGGCCTTCGGTGGGGCTCCCTATGGGGCCACGAAGCGGCGTGTGAGGGGGTGTGCCGAATTGGGTGTGCGGGACGCATGCGGGCGGCAGCACTGGGGCCTTCGGTGGGGCTCCCTATGGGGCCACGAAGCGTGTGAGGGGTGTGCCGAATTGGGTGTGCGGGACGCATGCGGGCGGCAGCACTGGGGCCTTCGGTGAGGCTCCCTATGGGGCCACGAGACGTGTGAGGGGTGTGCCGAATTCGGTGTGCGGGACGCATGCGGGGGGCAGCACTGGGGCCTTCGGTGGGGCTCCCTATGGGGCCACGAAGCGTGTGAGGGTTGTGCCGAATTGGGCGTGCGGGACGCATGCGGGCGGCAGCACTGGGGCCTTCGGTGGGGCT